ATGCTACTGGTTGGCAACACCGGAAAGTCGGAATTTTTAATTTTTTTTCCTTGGGGGGATACGTCTGCTAATAGATGAAATCTATTTGAGTTTTTATCAGGCGGCCCCGGGCCCATTATGCCTTACGGCTGTCTATTATTTAATAAATTGGTAAATAACCACTCACTTGAAAAGGTTGGAGAACTGCTGAGGATAATGACAATTGTTTTCAATATTTTATTTTATTGCATGTTTTTGTTTTTTTTATTTTTTAAAATTTTTACATTTCTATTTAAAGGCTGCTGCTATACCGTTACTTTTGTCACGCAAAGATGTTTCTGCGGAGGCTGCAACTGGCCCAGAAAAATATTAGCCTTTTTAGTGCTTTTATTGGAAATATTAAGTCGCGGGCCTAATGAGTCGCCGTGGATTCCTAAAGAAATTGGCGCTATAATTATCTCACCCACAAGAGAATTGGCTTTACAAATCTCAGAGGTATTGCAAGTTTTTTTGACCCATGAGCAGTTACAGCATTTACGTCAAAAACTTATAGTAGGTGGAGGCAACATAGAAGAGGATTTAAGATCTGTACAGAACGAGGGGCCAACCATACCAACCAATCAGCGTCTTTACTAAAAAGATTTAAATTGGTGGGATCGTTTCATTGTATTTTGAAATAAGGTAAAAAATTACTGGACTTGAATGGTTATACTGCTATTGTTCCTAGCATATTTGCGGCTTTCGTTGTTGAATATCGCAATTTTTGCAAAGTGTTTACAAGTGTTTAAGGCGGTTTAAGACTGTTTAAGACTGTTTAATAACATTTTATATGCTTTCGATGTTGAATTTCGCTATTTTCCGTCTCGGTCCCTTAGGGGGCGTCCCAAATTTCAAGTCTGCGCTTAAGGTAAGACCAAAAAAAAATCTTCGCCGGGGGTAGAGGGTGTGCCTTTATACAATATGCGACAATTAATCAAGCCACAAAAGCCATATTGAAAGGTAGCAGTAAAGAATTAGTGGGAAGGCCAGCCTTCGTTGACTAGGATTTAGATAAAAATGAATACGTGGCTAGTAAACAATGCGACTCGCAGAAAGAGCCAGAGGAGAAAAAATCTAAAAGTGAATGTAAAGAAGAGGAAATTCAACCACAAACGAATGACAAGAATGGAAGAGAATAACGAGGAGGTAACGTAAGAAAAACTATAATGACTTTTAATTAATAAAAACTTGAGTAATTCTTAGGATTGTAGCAGTAACAGTGCTGAGGAAAAAGAAGATAAAGGAATAGCAAACATAGAGAAAGTCACTAAACAAAAACATTTCCAATGATGTCAATGAGCGTTGCACTGTATTTATAACAAATTTAGCATTTGATACAGAAGATGCAGATCTTCGTGAAAAATGTTATTCTCGAAGTTTAAACAAAAATTTTAAATCATCGTTTACCGGTAAGTACAACCGTTGGGCGGCACACGACTTAAAAGGGTTGCGCCATTCTCTTTCACTGTTAAAGGGAAATTGCAGTAGTAACAATCTAAAATCGACTTCGGGACGAACAGCGCGCCAATCGTTTAACTTTTCATTAAAACTGATCATAAGACGTTCTTCCGCAAAGATTAGAAAAAAAAGCTTTTCTCTATAGGAATTAAATAACAAAGCAGATTTAATCACTACCAAAAATTCTTGCATTCTTTGCCCACAAGCTACTAATGCTGGCAACGCAATACATGAAAGACATGCCTAACTTATAAATATTTTAAATGGTAATGAAGAAAAAATGGTTTTTCAACGAAATTTGTGCGCTAGAAATACTTTCGCTGAGGGTATTTCAACAGCCACGTCATTATGAGTGCAAAACACGAAAATGGATACAGGCAACACAAGAAAACAGAATAGAAAGCTTTCTTTGCTCTGTTCAGGTTTTATTGTTTCTTGAAGCTATTTCTGCAGCAATCGAAAAAGAGGTAGCGATTCCTTACTTGAAGTTTAGCTACTTGTACCAAAGTAACGTTGACCACGCTGATCAGTCCATATTTAAATAATATCTAAAATATTGAAAGATTCCTTAGAAGAAAGCAGGGCAAATGTTTGTGACCTCACAAAAAGAGTAAAGCACTTAGAGACTTCTGTTCGAAAAGTGCTGTCAAATTTGCTTATACTTCTTCCACAGAAGGATTCCATTCAAATAATCAACATATAACAATACCACTACAAACGTTCCACGCGGTATTCTTTCAGCGAATACACCAATGCTGGTGCTCTAAATTTATTCTTTTTTTTTTGGTTTGTAAAAAAAGAAAAGGTTAGGACTGCAAATTGGGAGGCCTACAATTTCTTACTTCAAAGAAAAAAATCACGTAAACGTTTCTACTAGTTCAGCAGTATAACTCGCAATGTAGAAATATAAAGACCTAGTTTTTCTTATCTTTAAGAAACAGTGTAAGCTATTTATATGTTTTTAATAATTTAAAAATTATAGAAAAAAACTCATAAAATGAACGGAATTCAAACTCTCTTTAAATATCAAAGTAGCTTAGTTCATTATTCATGAGCCGATAGCCTGTGTTGCTAGTGCTCAATGTCTTTTTTTTAGTCTAAGAATTCAATTCATTAGTCTAAAATTAAAATAATAATAATAATAATAATTATCCAAGTAATCTTGTTGTGTCTGAATTTGGTCACATCTGAGAATAAGCGTCTATATTTGGTCACATCTTGGAATAAGCGTCTGAATTTGTTAACAACCACCTATTGTGTCTGAAGTTGGTCACATCTGAGAATAAGCGTCTATATTTGGTCACGTCTTGGAATAAGCGTCTGAATTTGTTATCTTTTTTTTGGTTTGTTTGGAAATGGATTGGACCAGTTACGTTGAAATTAGATCCATAATCCAGTAGCGTAGTTTGATAATATTTTGAGCATTGGTAGAGACTGATGTATCAGAATGTTAAATATGAGAAGCTCTGTTCCGCTATCAACCCGTAAGTCACCATACTAGGTGCTGTACAGTCAAAACTTCGGCTAGCAATGCCGACAAAAGAAAAAAAGTATACGCGACCCGTGCTTGTAAAAGAAATTATGAATGCAAAATTAGAAAGAAAAATCAGCTGATTTGATGAAGCCAGTCAGTTGTTTCAACTGTCAAAAGTTTCTAACACAAAAAATTTCATGTAAATTGTTATACAAGCTAAATATACTGAACGACTGTCTATGGATATCAAACCTACTGCACTCAAAAATTAGATGTTCGCCAGACTCAGTAATACTGCATTCTTCACAAATATCTGTAGCGGAGACTTTGATGATTTTAAAATATACCTTGTCGTAGGTGTGATTACTCATAAGTCTGTGAGGTACTTTAAATTCCCATGTTGTAAATTTTCATTTTGGTAGAAGTACAGGTATCAAAAAAGGGTAACTTTTGTAGAAAGGCCGTTCACTTTTTTCTCTAGCTACAACATGAAAATCGTCTTTCCATTGTTTAACGATAAGTTTTTTGATTAACAGGTGGGCCTCACTGGGGGTAGTTAATGGACAAAACCGTGCCATCAAACTGTGCTTCACGTGCATAAAAGTTAGGTTTTTCATTGATACCAAACCCACAGTGACCTGGGATGCAGAGATGGCATTTTTCAATGCTTGGGTCTTTTAAGAGGTCGTAAATGTCGAAAACATACACGTTGTATGGGTCTTTGTTCTTGATTAACGTCAGAGCCGATTTGCTGTCGGAGAAGCATGCAAATTTTTTCAGTTTATTCTCAATTGCAAAGAGGATTGGGTGTCTGATGGCCACAAGTTCAATGAAAGTGGATGAAAGTTCTTGCAGAACTTTGAATTTTCTTAAGAGTAAATTTGGATATTCTATAATTGAGAAACTGGAAATATCCGAATATACAGATCTATCCATTGCGTATATTTTGAAGTTATTTTCGATAAAGTGATTAAGTTTTTGCAGAAATGCAGTACGAAGACATAACCTGAAATAGGTGGGTTGTGTTGTCTTGTAATCGATGTAAGCCGGCTGTATACAAATTGAAAAGTAATGGTAAAAACCAGCTGCCTTGAGGTAGACCTCCACCGACTCCAACTGAATTTGAACCCAATACGAGAATTCGAGAGGAAAGGAATTTTAGAATCCACTGTCTACATTGTAACGGTATTTTAAAATCATTTAGAATTTGATCTAGTTTTCCTAGATCGAGACAGTCATAAGCTTTATTGATGTCTAAACAAAGGATGACTACCTGGTTTCCATTTGCTTTCTCATTTGCAATGGTGAAAAGAACTTCCTTAAGACACACACCGGTGGAAATGTGTTTCTGATAGGCAAAGGACCTAGAGGGAAGCAGGTGTGAATTACGCGGAAAATTCGTGGGTCTTTCTTTGATCATTTGGTTTGTAATTTTTAGGATAACGGTCAGGAGGGATATAGGTCTGAAATTGGTGTAACTTTCAAGATATTTTTCAACTTTTGGAATGGGTACAATTTTAATTGTACGCCGAACTGTAGAAAAAGAGCTGGTCATCCAGCGATCATTTATTGCAGATAGCAGAACTAGAAGGCTTGGAACGGGAAGGACGTGTACCATTTCGTATTTAACGCCGTCATGACCTGCAGCTGAAGATTTCTTTTTCAATTTAAGGACGTGCAAAAGTTCACCCAGTCAAAATGAAGAGATATTATCTACCTGAGAGCTAAATGAGGGAACTAGGAGAACATTTGTTGTGGGAACCTGGGCTTTGAACCATTCTAGGGGTGTTTGTATTTCCTTCATTCAGAAATTTCCAGAAAGGTTCTATGTTACCATTTGTAAAAAGCTCTTCGACTACCTGGGCACGGTGAATTCTCATAGTTTTTCTGATTGTTTTTTCCATTCTTTTTGTAATAGCTTGAAATCATTAAAGTTAGAGATGTTGGGGTATTTAGAATATTTTTGTTTAGCTGCTTGTAGTTTGCGGAAGACCGTAGTAAGCGAATCATTCCACCAAGATTTTGGAGAGTAAGAATCAGAGACTTGTATTTTTGATTTAGAGTTATTGATTTCGCGTTGAAATGAGCTCCGGATGGACTCAACTTGGGGCTCAGGACTTATGTGCATAAGATTTTTTAAGAGAGAGATAAAATCATTTATCTTAAATGAAGAAACAGGATTTGCGCTAAAGAGAATAGGAAGATGGGGACTGTTTCCAAGATAAGTATCTTTTTTGACTTCCCGTTTAAACGTAAAATTAGTTGAGTTGGTGAAGGTAAGGTCTAAAGCACTGGCACAACCATTGCGAGTCGTAGAGTGCACGTAGGTCGGTAAATCGCCGCCACTTGATGTCCAATATACTGGTGAGATGAAGAAGTAAGTCTTGTCGGTATGAGGTTGAAGACACCAGGTGGTGCTGCGCACTGCGGAACGGCAAGGCACCAGAGAAATGCTCCTGGTGACAAGTTGATAATTGATCTTAACGCTAAAACAGGAACATTTCCGAAGATAAGAGACTCTGCAAACAATTGTTTTGCGGAAGATGAAATATTCCATCCGAATGTAAGTAATTAATAGAACTTCGTATTCATATCACACAACATAATCAATATATTTTCAGTTTATTGGTGACGTCGAACAAAAACAAGATAAGTGGATACATAAATTGTTTTTATATCATCACAACATCTTGCCAACAGCGAAACGAAATATTGCGACAGTTACGTACAGCAACAGCACCGACCCAACACAGTCAACTTCCTATGCCGTATGGTACACACATTTCCTTTAGAAATTTCTTTGGATATCTGCATACAGAAGTGTGAACATGTTAAATAAAAAATTAATTCAATACATATAATAAAGGTACAGTTACACTTACCGATAATGGCAATAAGGTGCCTTTTCACAATCTAATACACCACGATTCTCACCATAAACACCTCCAACGAAACCCTCCACAGCATAATGTAGATATGCGACTGCCCCATTTCAAATAACTAGTTAAATCTCGTAAAGCAATACCGAAACCAGCAAACATCACAGTAGGAATATGATGATGTTTGTCACGCAAATCTTCCAGGACGCCAGGAAAATCTAGGAAGATGGGAGTCAGGAAAGTTCCATTCTGTAGAAGGGAAACAAGTAAAAATTGAAATATCAGAATTCGAACAAATAACAAGAATTTTATCTTCGTTATGCATCCTCTCAATATGTTGTAATAGCAGAATGAAGCTAAAGATGAGAATAAAAGCTCAACCGATGATAATAGAGATGACGAAGATGATGAAATGCCTAGTGAGAGGTTTGTTATTCCTTCATGAGATTATTTCTCTTAGTGATTTAATGCGCTGTTTTTATCAGGGGAAAATTTTACGTCCGATTTAGAAATTGGTGCAGATCCAAACTATAACATCATTGAGCCGATAACAAACCGGACGAGGAGGAGGACGATGGTGAATCCAATACGATGGGAGCACCATTGGAGCGAGAATTTTTTTTTTGATTGATAGCAGAACAGATTTTTCATTGGAAGGAGTTATAGGCTCTATTTGCGAGGCGACAGCAGCGTAGATATTACTTTTAATTCTTTGGGTTCCCGATGGGTTTATTTCACGGTACTTGCATCACAATTCGCCCATGCCACAGTAAGTTTCTGTTTCGATTTTTAAAATTTCACGCATCTGTACAAAACGTGGGAATTGTTTGTCTACCGCCGAGTGGTAATTATTGCAATTTATGCAAAAACTACTCGTTCAGCTTTCAGAATGTGGAGGAAGACCACAGTTAGCTCAAGATGGATCACTGTTCCATCTTTTTGCAGTACTGTCCAAACGTTGACGGTTTTGGCATCTCATCGCATTTAGAATATAGAGTTCCACTTTGCACTTATACCAAGCTACATCAACTGTTTGCAGTAACCGATAGCGATCAAAGATCATAATTATCGTTCCTGTAGGAGAGAGGGTTTTTCCGTCATCATTTAATTTAGTAAATTCATAAACCTTTTAGGTAACGGACGATACGGTGTACTATTGCACATATGAGTAAGTGTGCGTAGCTTTTTTTATCTTAGTTGTAATATTATTATTATATTAGCATTACATTATCATATTATATTTAATCAATATGTGTAAAAATGAAATTCGAATAGGTTATTTTTTCTCTTTCTTTTTCCCTCCTCTGTTTCTGCATATGTGTTCAATAACACTAGTAAATAAGGAGAAACCTTCCACATGTCTGGTCTGTGTCCGGCTTCTATTTGTTTTACAATTTGAAATCATTGTTAAAGATTTGTGGTCTATGAAACAGTAAATTTTCTACCCTCCAAAATGTATCTCAAACGTTTGATACTGAGCAAGTTCAAGAACTCCCAATCAAAAGTACTGCGCTTAATTTCGGATAGGCAAAGCTTCTTCGAAAAGAATGATAAGAGCCGAACTCTTAGTCCTATAGCGGACTGTTGCAAGAAGTATCGCCACACTTCAAGTATCAACGTTTAAAGACAATTCTGCATTTTTAGTTTATCATTATGTAAACTGTTTTCTCTCTTTTTGGAACATTTTTATTTTTCTACTAACGACACGAATAACACATTTTATACATTACGCAAGACACGCCACCGTATAGTTTTTTGATGCTCAAAAGATAAAACAATAACTTATATAGTTTTAATAGGACCCTTCTTTTTAATCAAGTTATTGTATTGCAAAGGAAATGTACAAGTCACTTGTTTATTGGAAAGATTCCCTAGCTATCTTTCCAAAGTGTGATCAAGTATTGTTGGTGTATCTCCCTATGCCGCTCGGCTTCAGTGCGCCAAGTCGAGCCGTCTCTTAAAAATGGCCAATTAAGCTCGGCATGAGACAGTCCCTAACTAAAGTTACAAGGCGGATAGAACGCATTTCGTTATAACAGTAAGTTGATACGCTATGATTCAACTGCATAAAACAATTAGTTCATTCAGTTTTTACTCAGCTATTTATACATAAGTTCTTATACTAAATTAGGCTTATATCAACAAAAATGATAATTGTTTTGATTGGTGCGCCTCTTATTGCATTACGAAATGTAATACCCTGCCAGGTGAAGTGTGACATAATTTTTATTTTTCTTTAAGCAAAAGAATTATACTGAATTCGCATAATTCTGTCACACTTCAAAGTGGATGCATATAACGATATGCGGTCACACTTACCGTTTTAGGGAGAAAATTATTAATGTGTTGAAAGACAATTTTCTGTTATGAAAGAGAATTTTAATAGAGTAAACGGTAATTCTTAAGTAAATTCTTATGTATTTAGTGTATCTTTAAAGCTTTGTACACATAGTTTTTAATTATATTTGTAGTTTGTAGGTTTTCATTCCTAAATTTTTACAGTTCTGCTCTCATAGTCTTAAGTAGATCTGGTTTATAATTTTTCTAAATTTTTCTAATTTTTCTGGTTTATAAAATTTCTAAATTTCTATGAACAGTTTTTGGCTTATCTTTAATTTGTATTGTTACATTGGGGTGTTTGACATCCATTACTTCATAGGGTTTACCTAATTTTTTTCTGTTGTGCTTTTTTAATAAAATTAGTTCTCCTATGTTTATATCAATTGGATTCGTGTATTTTTCTTCTGATAATTTCGTTCCTGCTACTTTTGCTTTTTCTAAAAATCTTTTAGCTTTTTCTAGAGAGTATTTTAATTTTGTTTTTAGTTCATTTACGTAGTTTTCTGATTTAATATTTTTTCCTTGGGCATGTATGGCAATTTTCCGTATATCAGTTCAAAAGGGGTATATTGTGTTTCTACATGAGGGGTGGTGTTATACACGAAAGTGTAGTATGGTATCCATTTGTCGCAATCATTGTTTGTTGCAAAGGCTCAAAAGTATTCGTTAAGAACTGTGCGATTTCTTTCCATTGTGCCTGAAGTTTCATGGTGGTAAGGGGTTGAGAACTTTTGTTCGATATTTAGTAACAAACAAATTTCTTTTACTAGTTCATTGTTGAACTCTGTTCCTCTGTCGGATTTTAACGTTTTGAATTGACCGTATTTAAGTATTACCTCTTCTGTTAATATTGTGGCAATTGATTTTGCGCTTTTATCTTCATTGGGATGTGCGATTATATAGTTTGTTAGTTCGCATTGTATAGTTAGTATGTATCGGAAATTATTAGAGGGTTTTATTGGTCCTACTGTGTCTATATATAGTGTTCCTGAAGATGTGGATTATTGTGAGAGATTCTTTTGTATGTTTGGTTTGTTTACTTGTTTGGCAAATGCCGCATTGTTTTATGTAGTTTTTTATCATTTTGAACATGTTACGGCAGATGTATTTTTGGCTTAGTTTTTGAAACTTTTTTTTACTCCGAAATGTCCTGAGTGTGGGCAAGTGTGATATTCTTCTATTAATTTGCACTTTTCTTTATCATCGTGTATTCTTCGTCTTTCTTTGTATAATAATATATTTATGCGGTTGCTTTTAATATTGTTGAATTTTTCTTTTAATATCTCTTTGGATATGTATTTAAATATGTCATCTTGAAGACTTAATGCATAGTTTAAGAAATTTTACTTATTTAGTTTTGATGTCAATTTTTCCAAGAGCGCATCGTAATGGTCTGGATATTCATTGCATCTCACTGCTGCTTAATTCTTTAATATTTTCAATTATAATATCTTTTGTACCGCTTTCGAATTTAGATTTTAACTTTCTTGTCTTTTTAATGTCATTTGTTGACGTGCATTCCCACATATTTAATTGTTCATTGTTTGCGTTTTCTTTTGCCAATTTGCTTCTGATTATGAATAACGTCTACTTTATTCCTTTTGGTCTTCTTATCTGGATATTGGAATCATCTCTTTTATAATATCAGAATTTGTGTTTATCCTTGATAAGGCGTCAGCGTTAGTGTTGCTTAAACCTTTTTTATAAATTATGTTGAAATCGTAGTCCGATAATTGTATTCTTATTCTGGTTAGTTTTGAGGTGGCGTTTTTGTGGCAGAATAGTGATACTAATAGACTGTGATCAGTTATCACTGTGAATTTTTTGCCGCGTAAGTAGGGTCTGAAATGTGTTAATCGAAAGTGGATTGTGAGTAGTTATTTTTTTATAATTGGCTTGTTTTTTCATGTTTGTTTAGGGATTTGCTTGCATATGCGATAGGTAAGTTTTGACCTATTTCTTTTTTAGATAGTACTGCTCCTAAGTCGTAATTTGGTGCTTCAGTTGTTAAAATGAAGGGTTTATCGAAATTTGGATATTGTAATATGGGTGTAGACATTAGTTTGTTTTTGAGTTCCAGGAATGCCTGATTCTATTGGTTTGTCCATTCGAAGTCTTTACCTTTTTCAGGAGATCGTTTAGTGGATGTGCTATGTTAGCAAAGTCTTTTATAAAGTTTCTGTAATAGTTGCAGAATGCTACAAATCTTCTTACTTCGTCTTTATTTTTGGGTTGGGGGTAGCTTTTTATTGTTTCGTACTTAGCGGGATCTGGTTTTATGCCGTCGGGTGTTATTAGGTGTCTTAAATAGGTTACTTCTGGTTGTAGGAAGTTGCATTTGGATGGATTTAGTTTTAGGTTGTATTTCTTAAGTCGTTCGAGTATCTTCGTTAGGTTTCTGTTGTGATGCTCAAAGCTACATCCGCGTGTTATTATGTCGTCTACGTATAAAAATGCTCCGATGTCTAGTCCTGATAAAGCTATGGTTAACATTCTTTCAAAAGTGTTGGACAAAATAGTTAGCCCGAATGGAAGTCTCGTGTATTGATAATGTCCGTTTGGTGACGAAAAGGCGGTTAAGGGTCGCGAGTTTTTGTTAACTTTAATTTGAT